ACGAGAGAAAGAAAGAGAGAATAGAGAGATAAAATAGAGAAGAAGAGAGAGAAAAAAAAACGTGACGAGAATAAAAAAACAGTAGAGAGAGGAGAAGCGAGGAACGACAAAATAAGAGCTTATTTAAATAAAGAGAGAAAAAATGTAGACAGAAGATGACGATTTAGGATAGAAAGAGAGAGAAAAGAAAAATGAAAGAAAGAGGAGAAATAAAAAAGGTAAAAGGGAAAAAAAAATGGCAGTAAACAGAGAAGAGAAAGAGAGGCAGTGGATTCTAAAAGAAAGAGATGATTTAGAAAAACAAATATGAAAAATCAGCAGAGAGCATCGATCCAATTCGATTATTATGTTGTTCATTCAGAATATCAGAAATTCAAATTGAGTTTACAATATGACGTGATACATTTCCAATCGATTTAACTTACATAAATTTTTCAATTGGCTTCGATTACATGATATTTACTTGAAATGTACACAACGCATCCATTTCATCTTCATCTGTTGCTTCTATTTTCGTCTCATTCTTTTCATCCTTACTCTCTAATCTCCTCCTTGCGCTCCTCTTGCATAGACATAATTCTACTCTTTCTTTTACTGTCATTTCTTTCTTCTTTTTCTTTTTCTTCCTTTCTTTCTTTCTTTCTTTCTTTCTTTCTTTCTTTCTTGTATGTCTCTTTTCCTTCTTCTTCTCTCCCTATTTTGTTTCATTGATTGTAGATTTCTTTTCGTCTTCTGTACATCGTTCTTCTCTTGAATATTCTTTGTTCACCTCGTTTCTCTCTTTCTTTTTCTTTCTTTTTTCTTTCTATCTTTTTTCCCCCTTTTCTTTTGGTTCTCTCTCCTCTCTTCTGTTACTTCTCCTCTCTTTATTTTTTCTTCACTGATTGTATATTACATTTTTAGGGTCTCAGTTTTTACCTTTTATGTTTTTCTGTATCCCTCTTCTCTTTACTACCCCCGACCTTTCTTTCCTTCGTTCTTTCTCTTACTCCTCCCCTCCTTATTTTATTCTTGTCCGTCAGTTATGTGCTATGCGTCATACACGCTTAGGCGATCATGTATCTTTCGATACATGACTGACGAGGCAGATTTTTTTTACTGCAGTACGTTGCCATTACTTTCTGCGGAAGACCAGTTGTCATCCAAGGCTATAGAATCGAATCTGTCCTGCTATTTACCCATAGCTAGGGGGAGAAGAAGACGATTCTTACCTCTCCCAACTGATTGTATATTTCTTTTCTATGGTCTTCTTTTCATCCCAGTTTTTCCTTTATCTGTTTATTATCTTTTACCTTGACATTTTTTTGTTCCTCTCTTTTCTCCTCCTCCTTCTCTTCTTTCTGCCTTTCTTTCTTTTTCATCTCTCCTCTTACTTCTCGTTTCATTATTTTTGATTTATTGATTGTTTATTTCTTTTCTATCGTCAATTTTTTCATCTCTAGCTCTCATTTTTACTTTTATTTTTCTGTATGTTTTCCTTACTTTTCTATCTAATCTTATTTGTCTCTCGTTTTCCCTTTCTTCTTTCTTTCTTTCGTTCTTTCTTTCTTTCTTTCTTCTTTCTTTCTTTCTTTCTTTCTTTCTTTCTTTCGTAATGCCCGTTTGTAGGAGAGATTTTTTGTTTTTTTTTAAAGTAGCCACTCAGACACCGCTTATTCCCATATATATATATATATATATATATATATATATATATATATATTCAATTCAATTTGAGTAGAATATTCTGTAACCATGGAAACGTGATTTTAGCTGTGTATTTAAAACCCGGTAAATTTTAAAAGTTACTCCAAAATTCGCTTGAAGATGAAATGGAACTAATGCTTTTAATTTATTTGCAAAAAAATAAAATTAGGGTTTTTAGCTTCTATTTTGAAACATGGTTGGAACTGTTTAGCGAAAATAACCATATTTTAAATCAATTAATTTATAATATTAATGCTCTGTAAATTTACATTGAGCACTATTTTGTAAAAATAAAATATCTATAAGAACACCGGATTTTATATCTTACTGTTCTTTCTTTTTATTTATATACATATATATATATATATATATATATGTTTGCATTTAACTGTCATGTGGTCTAATTATTTCAAGATGAGGTCGACTGTGCTTGCTCTCTGGCGATCCGTGTTCAAACCCAAATGTCAGCAGCGACACTTTATGACTACATGTCTCTTTCTTTCTTTATTTTCTCTTCTCTCTTCGTTTTTTTTTTCATTCTTTCTTACTTTTTCTTTCTTATTTTTCTTTTCTTCATTCTTCTTTCTTTCATTTGTCTTTCTTTCAACAATTGTTTTTTTTTATCTTCGCTGATTTGTTTTTTTTTGTTTTTTTTTACATTTTAATTTTATTCAGTACTTCTATCCTACTCTTTATTTTTACATCTTTCCGTCATTTATTCATTCACTCTTTCGACTTCTCTTCTTCATCTGTACTGGCCTCTATTTCTTCTGTATATATATATATATATATATATATATATATATATATATATATATATATTATATATATATATATATATATATATATATATATATATATATATATATATATATACCGTACGTTTTTCTCCCCTTTTTTCATTTATATACCGTATTTTTCGGCTTACAAGACATTGCGGCTTCGAAGACGCACTCTAATATTTGAAATAAATTTCTAAGAAAAACAAAGTCATTCCCATGCAACAACACATTCACCATACGTCCTCACATACTGGCGATACGTATTGTTTACAGTAATCACTCGTCCGATTTTGTTTGTATGGCAATGACTTACTAGTCAAGAGCAGAAAACTTCCCACCGCTGCTCGTAAACAGAGTATGTTTAAGTTTGTGACTCGGCTCCTGGAAGGTTTATAGTCTTGGAAATACTTGTAACAGGTAAGTACTGAGGTTATATCATATAAAAGGGTGAATTAGATAGATAGCTCACATTATAGTGTAAATATTCAACATAGAAATTCACGTCCCTAGCCAATTAGTCAAGCCGATTAGGTGACCGTCAAAGTTTACTTGAGTTAGGGCGTTGGAAGACGCTCACGTATATTTAAGGTTATTTTTAGGAAAAGAAATACGTCTTGTAAGCTATAAAATAAGGTATTTTTTTTCAATTTTCTCTTGCTCCCTCTCACATTTTTCTTTCTTTTTCCCACTTTTCCTATTCTATTATCTTTTCTTTCTTTTTTTCTTAACTCCTATTTTGCTTTTCTCTCTTTCCTCTTCATTTTTCTTTTTCTCTCACTTTATTTCTTCTCATCTACTCTTCTCTTTCCTTCCCTCTTTTCACGTTTGTCTTCTTTATCCGTCCTTCGTTTATTTCCCTGATTTCTTCCTCTAGTTCCAAGTTATTGTTTTTTCTTTCATTTACACCCTCTGCCTCCACTGTTTCTTGACTGTTGTCTCTGTTTAATTTCCTTTTATTTTGCTTCGACATTTCTTACTACACTGTTTTCATTCACCCTCCTATCTTTCCCTCTTTCCTTTTACATTTTTTTTAATCCAATCTAATTGTTTCAACTCGCCTAGATTCCATAATTGATAAGCCATAGAGATCCTCCCGTTTGACCCCGTCGTAATCTGTCGCATTCAAAATAAATTCAAAAGATAACGACTTTGTACATTTTTAAAATTAATCCGCTGTACATTTCTCAGCCACCTAAAAGCTGATGTATAAATCATAGAGACATTTTCGAAGCCTTGTTTTTCTATCTGCCGTGTACAATCAGGTCGTTGGTGATCATGGCTCTCCACAATTTCCTGTTCTTTGTATCTCTTAATAAAGTATGTCATTTTGTTATCTCTCCTAAACATTGTTCATCGCTCCATTCACTCAAACTTGTTTTGTAGGTTATGCATCGTTTTCCTCTGTCACTTTCGCTTTCAATCTGCCCTGTGAGTATCAAATTTTCCAAGCCCTCTTTCCTCATTATGTGCTCTATAAATTGGAACTTTCTCTTCCTGATGTTAAGTATAAATGTCCTTTTTGTTTCCATTTTCTATTAAACGTGGTCGTTGCTCACATGTTCGGTTGATACTATTCTCAGCATCCTTCTGTAGAACTATATTTCTATTGATTCAAGTGCCTTCTTCATCGTTGAGGAGATTGTCCAGCATTCACTGATAATACGTAACAATTTGATACTCTTTTTCTTTAAACCCATGTGTTTTAGTGGCTTTACTGCTTTGGATGGGATGAAACCCATTAAAAATTAAAAAATAGTTATTGTTTTAAAAAGAGATGATTCGAAATGCAATAAAACCTAAACATATGAAATTGAATTTATACATTTTCTTTGTTCTTGAGAGATGACAACAAAAATGATAAACACTATTTATTTATTAGATTTTTTATTTATAAAAATAATTTTATATTTACAACATTCTAACAACTAATACAATTAAAACTAATGCAAATTTTATCATTTACCAATTTATAAAGAAATAAATAGGAAAACAATTTTTATTCACAAATTTATAGACTTTTACTAAATTATTAAAAATATGTGGACCAAACATAAGAAAATCCTTATTATTTACCATTTTATAAAGTTCGAATCAATTGGCAATTTGTCGATGTTTTGCCAATAATTACAATAATTAATAAATACTTTAAATAAACAATCTAGTAATTAAATATTTTTAAAAATTTTTGTTGTCAATTCTCAAGAACAAATAAAATGCATGAATTCACTTTATAATTTTTATACTTTATTTATTCATGTTTAGGTTTTATTCCAGTTCTAATCATCGCTTTTAAAACAATAAACATTGCCGAGATGTGAAGTTCCCTGTTTCTTAATACTTTGCTTAGCTTTTGGAAAGAATCTTTTGCTATTCCAATGTGTCTTCGGATTTAATAAGATTTTTAATAAGATTAAGAGAATAAGAGAAATAAAAACGGAAGAAGATCAATACAGAGTGAGAGAGAAGGTGGAAAAAACGGAAAATACAAAGTGAGAAAGAGAAAGAGAAACATATATATATATTGGGATAAATTTACATAATCTGAGAGAGAGAGAGAGAGAGAGGAGACGAGGTAATTATATAGAAAAGACTAAAATAAAGAGAGAGAGGAGGGGGTATCATTTAATTGACAAAGATAGTGAGAACGAATTCAAGAGGTGTAGAGAAACAGAGGGATAAAGAGAAAATGCCAAGCAAGCTAATAGATTAATATAGAGAGTGTGATAGAGATCAATAAGCGCAACAAGAGAGAGAATGAGTGACATAGAGAGACACAGAGAGAGAGAGAGAGACAGAGAGAGAGAGAGAAATGTAAGATAGGTAAAATCAATATGGCAGAAGAAGAGAGACTTCATGTGAAAAAGAATATAATAATTTAGAAAGAGTATGTATGGAGAATATGAGTGAGTTTGAGAACGAGAAAGAGAGGGAGAGAAGTATGCGGACAAATAATGTAGAACGTGTGAGGGATCAATTTCTAGAGAGAAACTATGTATATGTGTACCTGCGGGAGAGGGATAGAGAGAGAATGACGTAATTTACCAAGAAAATGAGTTAATTAGAGAAGGAAACACTTAAAGTGAGAACGCCATAAATTCCGTATATAGTCTAATCAGGAACAAGGCCCAGTTTCAAAGATTAGGGTTGAATAACAGTGTTGCTACAAAAATCTAATGGAAACTCATTTATGTTATTTCTATCTGGCCTTCCGTCCTTTTTCTCCGTTTACCAAACCCTGTTTCCATTGTCTTTATTTGCTTCGAACCCTAAAAATTTATTTAAAAACAAACATTGCAGTTTTATATATTTTGAAAAGGTGTTATCTGTTAAGACAGGTTTGTTAATTTAATAGCATACCAATGCATATTAGGTTATGAAATATCGACTATAAGTACAACATAAGTAATAATTAATATTGTTTAATCTAAAATTAAGTAAAACAAAGGGGCAATTGGTCCGGTATATACTTGAAAATGGCAGGCATACGCCCGACTATAGTAACAAAGAAAGATATAGGTCTAGTTTACAGTAAATCAAAAATTAAGATGGAAAAAGCAGACATATGTCCATTTTGTACATGAGTCAAAAAGGTAGACAGAGGTTCGGTTTACACTTAGTAAAATAGAAAGATAAAGTTCAGGTTTATACAAAACTCAAGTAAAAAACCCTGCACTCAAGTAAAAAAGATACACGGAAGTTCAGCTTGCACTACGTCACAGCAGGTCCGGGAACGGTTTAAACTAGAATCATAAAGGTAGATTTCGGGACTGGTTTACAAACGAGTAAAAAAGGGCAAACGATTTAGACTTGAGCCAGAAAAGGCAGACATGGAAACGGTTTAGACCTGAGCCAAAAAAGGGACACATGAAAACGTTTTAGACTTGAGTCAAAAAGGAAGACATGGAAACGGTTTAAACTTGAGCCAAACAGGCAAATATGGAAACGGTTTAGACTTGAGCCAAAAAGGCAGACATGGAAACGGTTTACACTTGAGCCAAACAGGCAGATATGGCAACGGTTTAGACTTGACCCTAAAAGGCAGATATGGAAACGGTTTAGACTTGAGCCAAAAAGGCAGACATGGAAACGGTTTAGACTTGAGCTAAAAAAGCAGACATGGAAACGCTTTACATTTGAGCCAAAAAGGCAGACATGGAAACAGTTTACATTTGAGCCAAAAAGGCAGACATGGAAACAGTTTACATTTGAGCCAAAAAGGCAGACATGGAAACAGTTTACATTTGAGCCAAAAAGGCAGACATGGAAACAGTTTACATTTGAGCCAAAAAGGCAGACATGGAAACAGTTTACATTTGAGCCAAAAAGGCAGACATGGAAACAGTTTACATTTGAGCCAAAAAGGCAGACATGGAAACAGTTTACATTTGAGCCAAAAAGGCAGACATGGAAACAGTTTACATTTGAGCCAAAAAGGCAGATATGGAAACGGTTTAGACTTGAGCTAAAAAAAGCAGACATGGAAACGGTTTAGACTTGAGCCAGAAAAGGCAGACATGGAAACGGTTTAGACTTGAGCCAAAAAGGCACACATGGAAACGGTTTAGACTTGAGTCAAAAAGGAAGACATGGAAACGGTTTAGACTTGAGCCAAACAGGCAAATATGGAAACGGTTTAGACTTGAGCCAAAAAGGCAGATATACAGAGTGGTTCGGAGTCTGGTCACCTGTAAATAATATAATTTTCTATTTCATATGACTGACACTAGTCCCTACAGTTTGAGAGATAGTGGGTGACAAGACTTATATTGTACGGAAGCACCTAGTCACAATCGAGGGGTAGAGCAACCACTACTGACGATGAACTACTGATAATCTCAGGCTATGCGCCCTCTCCCAGAAACTGCAGCAAGTCTCAGTGAGTACTGAAGAAACACAAATATACCTGAACACGTATCTGAAACAAGGATGTGGTAATCACCATAGTAGACACCGCAGAACACCGCAGCCTCTTCTTACTGATTTTTTTTTTTATACCGTGACTCGTTGGCTTGTAAAGACAACATATATAACCGCAGTTTCTGACGGAAGTGAACTCTGTTCAAAGTTGGTTTTGAATTCATGATCCTCCACTTCCCCCCTTCTTTCTTCTGGTTTGGAGGTGGGAGAAGAAGAGGATTCATACATTTCCCAAGGTCAAACGAATGTAATGAATCCGACTGGAATTCGAACTCGGCTCTCCGATTCTCCAATCCGAGCCGCTATCCATTATAACTTCCTCACTGATGTTATATAGAAATAAATTGTCTCGGTGACACTTGAGTTTAAACATAGATCGCCCGTGAGCAAACACTGTTGATCCCATTATTGAATTATGTAGACCACGTGACCATAGAGGCAATGCATATATGGGAAGTCGTGTGGCGTCTAATTGGACGCCATTTTTATTCTATCTTCTATTACTATTCGGAGCTCTATTCTCTACCCTATTCACTATACTGTTTCTCTAAATTGATCACTATACAGATTACTATTCAGATCACTATACGCCGATTACTTTTCGAGAGCAAACACAGGCGATACCATTTTGAATAACTATATCACGTGATGGTAACGAAAATGTATATATGGGAATTAGCGTGGCGTCGCTATTTCTGAACTATCCCCTATTACTATAGGGATCGCTATTCTCTATAATATTCACTATACTAATTCTCTATACTGGCAACTATACGGATTACTATTCGGTGGTTACATTCAGTATGATGATGTGAAAATTTCTCCGATTTCTGGAGAGTGCCGCCATAGAAAATTACCCAAATATTAATTTACGCCCAGACCTTTTCCCTATTTCCCCTTTCTTAACAAAATTAATGCTCTTACAAACAAATATGCACAACAGATTCATAAAATCGAAAGAAAATGGTTGAATACATCAACACAGATATAATGACAATATTCTCCCCACGTGACAATCACTGACGTTATTTTTCAGTTAAAACATATGAAAATATCGTTTCTCTACATTCCAGTTGCTAGGTACATTCTGTTTTCGTTTTTATTAGTTGCTTTGTTCATTGAATTTCATTTTCGTATTTTGCTTTGATAAAGTCCACATTGGACGAAACGCGTCAGAAATTACCAGTTTTCCTATTGTCATTTTTATTTATATATATATATATATATATATATATATATATATATATATATATTATAATATATAGATATACCTATATATATTATTTTATTATATATAGATATAACTATATATATTATTTTATTATATATTGCATGACGATTAGGGGAATAGATGAGGTATGTTTTTTTTTTTATTATTCGCTCGAGCTAGTTGGGACATTAATGAGTCTATCATGTCAGCCATCCGGGTCCTGCATCAAACTCGAAAGTTTATTAGGGTGGAATTCTGTGTTATAACAAAGCTGGTCAATGTAGGCGATTGCTGAGCGACCGATCCGTCTTGTTCGATGTCTAGTTGTCCAGAGTAGTAGATCCCTCGCGAGTTCTTGCTTTGCTCGCCAGCAGTGTCCCGCAAAGAACATTCTGCGTTTGCGTAAGATTGTAGAAATATCAGGGATGTGTTCATACCAACTGTGATTTAGTTGGATGATGTCCCCGAGAGATGTTAAGTAGAGCTCTCAGTATTCGAGTGTAGGTTCCATCAAGCCTAGACTATAAGCTTTTAGTTAATCTCCAAGCAGTGGCACCATACATTAAAACCGCTTCCACGGTGGTTCGAAAGTATCTCCATTTGAGATTGTCTGGTAGATAAGATTTCAAGATTACATACATTTTATTCAAGGCGACACAGGCTTTAGATATGCGAATGTTCACATCGTTTTTAGTAGAATTTATTTCGCTTCCTAAGGATGTAAAAGATTCGACAGATATAGATAGGCTCTAAGATTAGCTTTCTCCATTAAAACTGTTAAATGTGTTTGACATTAAAGGTATAGAGGATTATTTTGCAATGACGTTTTAAATGCAATAATCGTTCTTAGTTCCGACAATTAAAGACCGAAGAGCCACTTAAGGTAGAAGTTCTTACTGTGTATAGAGATAAAATATTAATACGTATAATAATTAATTGGATCAGTTGCCAGGAAGCTCATCCGTATCTGTATACTTCATCATGGCATCGAGAGGCCTCGCTGAAAGCTAATGCAACTTACATATCCAATTTACAAAATGGCGTTACAGTAAACCCGACACATTATTCGGACTATTGTCCTCATCTTTGTCGCCATATTTATCACAACGTTTCGGTCGTTGTACGCTCCGGCCTTCTTCGGGTGGCTGGAATGTCGAACTGAAACCTTGTGAAACGTTGTGATAAATATGGCGACAATAATGTACATAATACCTCATCTCAGAAATATAGACAGATACAGGAGATCCGATATTATACACTTGACGATTAGGAACCCATATTAAAGTTTGGTTCCCTGGATATATCAGGCGGATGACGCTAACACAGAAAAAAAATTGCCACGTTAATTCAGAGACAAACAATCCAGAAAAGAAAATACACGTGACGTATGACCAGGATAATCAAAGCTTTTTGAGTTAGAAATATTATCATTAACCAGGATGCTAGACAGCGTGTAAAGCTTGTTCGAATGTTAGGATCAATTGAACCCCTCGAAACTATGATTTTCTCAACCCTAAATTTAATAGAGGATTGATTAGAATTGACTCTGTTATGTTATACGCAAATATTCTAAGCAGGTTTCCTTATAGTCATGAATGTTAACTTCAACAGGTCTTTGGGACATAGCTCTGCTGAAAACGTTTCTAACTGACCATTGTGGTTGAGGGCCAACTTTTCACTATAGCTCTACTTTGTTCACACACGGATGTTGTCTAATTTTTGTTTGCCGTACAGAGTAATGAAAGCATGGGACTGAAACTTCTATACGTAAAATCATGAGTTATTCATCTCAGGATTTCGTCAGTTTACCTCGCACGTCTCTAAATTCTGCGTCCTTACTTCCATGGAAACTCTTCAGACGAAATTACATTCCTTTA